CATTGGGACTGACCGTTTCTAATTGTTGCAGCTCTGCAAGACTTTGTTCTCTTAATAATCTGTACATGGAGATAGAGTCCTGTAGCTCAGTTTTATCAGCATAATTATACGAGTGCTTGTGAGCACTCGCCTCACAAGCGAGAGACCTGGGTTCTATTCCCGGCAGGGCGAAACGTTGAGCAAGTTTCCTTACTCCACACGCCTCTGTTTAACTAGCAGTGAGTAAGAACCCAGTTGTTAGTCGATTGGGGGATCGTTTTTCTGGGGATAATCATCCTTCAAAAAAAATAATAATAGATTGGTCACTCAATCCACAACTGTTTGTGGGACATTGCTGTACACAATTGGCTGCCGCATTTTCGCCCACAAATATACACTCAATTCACTTTACAGTCTATTCTGTGAAGCGCTTTGAGAGGTCTAGAAGACATGAAAAGGATTATTATCATTATTTTTATATGACCTATGTATGGCTCAGTAACTACTTGGGGATTTTGTGATGAATAGTGCTTATTTTGCTCTGATCATTTGTCTTCTATTTCCACAGGATCTTGCAGGTAGTTTAGCAAATACTGTGTTGGAAATTACACTGCGATATATTTATATTTGAACTCTGCATTAAGAGACCCAACCTCTGCCATATGGTACAGGTGTAATTATCTCTGTTTTGCAAGATTTACTTTTTTATTTACTTAACAAATCTGGCAGATAAAGTGCAAGGCAGAAGTTGAGTTAACAAGTGAACGAAAGGCTTTGATATTCTGCCAATTAACCCGTAATTTCCTTTTGAAAAATTATCGTATAATTATGCTGATAATTCTAGAGAAAATTGGGTTGAAAGGATTGAGTATAACAAAAAATATAACAAATAAAATAAAAACCTGCAAGACTTAAACTTGAATCCCCAGAGGAGGTTGCAACCCGGAAGTCGTTAATGTGTATACATTATTTTTTTGCCATACGTAATAATGACACATTTCACACATATATGCTTAACAAAACAATATAAAATTACATTTGTATAGCTCCTTTCTCATCGGGAGAACATCCCAAGGCCCAATACAAACAATTGTATTGTAGCACGGAGAGGGAGGTTTTACTCTTTGTCGTAATTTTGTGCAATGGCATTTGGGACATTCTGTATGGTTAATGCACAGTGCCTTTGCTGACAATTTAAGGCATATGTATTTCAAGTTTGTGTAGTAAGAAAATAAGTCTACATTTACCATACCATTAGTGACTTACTTTTGTCCTGCGTCTCCATTGCTTTTCTTTATCTGTGTCCTTGCCTCACTTTAAATCATCAAGTGGATTGATTTCATTGTCCTCATTGAATATACACATCCATCCATGCCCTAGCATCTCCTTAACTTTTCGATATCCTCCTATCCACCACTCCTCTGCTCGGGCTGACTTGGGTTTGTTGTGCACCCCTGGCCTATTAATGACAAGTCTTCTGATTCTGGAGTGGAGTCCTCCAACTCAGTAGTTAGAGCATACACCTCTCAAACAAGAGGACCTGGGTTTGATTCCTGGGCACGGTGAAACGCTAGGCAAGTTTCCTTACTCCACACCTCTCTGTTTACCTAGCAGTAAATAGAAATCCGCTTGTTAGTCAATTGGCGGATTGCTTTGCCGGGGTAATAATCCCTTTTTTATTAATTGTTTCAAAATAATAATCATTTGGTTACTTAATCCATGACTGTTTGTGGTATACTGCTTTGCGCAGTTGTTCGCTGTCATTCGCCCATAATATATACAGTCCACAAAACTTTACAGTGAATTCTGTGAAGCATTTTCTGACGTCGTGAAGATGTGATGATAACAATAACAAGGCGCGATATCAAGTGCAAGGATTATTATTATTCTCCCAGGTCCTGAGATGTTAAAGATCCTGTGGCACCTTTTGAAAAGACAAGGAAGTTTTTCCGGGTGTCCTGGCCAACAAACCCCCAAGTAAAATTGGTCACTCACTTCATGGCTTTTTGTGGGACATCACTGTCAAAAGTATTTTTTAAATTTGAGTTGGCTGTTTGCAGAATATACACTTTGTAGAATCTTTTGGAAGAACAATCTGAAAACCATGTTCTACGGAAAGCATACTATAGTGTTTGTGTGGGGCAGAATACTGGAGGAGTTTGCTCGAGTGTCAAGCCAGGACTGTTTGAGGGCCTTGGGATGCTGTCCTAACATGAAAGGCTCAATATAAATGTAAATTTGCATTGTGTTAAAGGGTGAGAAGCACAATTTGCTTTCTACAGATAATGATTAAAAGATGCTTGAATTTAGATGAGAAATGAAAGTTTTCTTGCCTTTTACAAAACTCCCAGTACCTTCCATCAATTAGGCTCCTGCTTTATGTTTTTAATTCAAATTTATGTTCTTGGTAGATTAGTTGTTTTTGGGGAGGGAATGCTCGTAGGTGAAACCTATCCTAAACTCCTGCAGTGATCACTTCAGGGAGGCTACAGGAGTGTGGAAGAATTGAACATCTAGTTAAGATATTCCTATCACATCTTTTGTTCACTTCTCCGTGAATCTGTTAAAATATGTATTTAAAGCTTCTGTTCTGTTTCCACTTTTACAGGTATTTGGACTGTTTAGTTTTGATTATTCTTTTCATAATGTGTGCTCACCCACTTTCAGTCTTTTGCCTAATAATGGATTAATACATTTTTCCAAGAATGTCAGGGAGTTAGGGAAATCTTAAAAATAATAAACCTTGCATTTGATGTAATGCCTTATCATGCCTTTGAGACATCTCAAGATGCTTCACAGAATATACCGTAAAGTGAATTGACTGTGTATTTTGTGGACGAATTGCTGCAGCCAATTGCACACAGCAGGGTGCCACAAACAGTCGTGGATTGAGTGACCAAATTTTTTTTTAAGGGATTATTACCTCCGCAAAAGCAATCTCGACTAACAACCAGGTTCCTACTTGCTGCTACCTGTCTAATGCATGAAGTTTAATAGTGTGAGTGAGGGATATCCTAGAAATCAACCTTAATTCTCTGTAGAACCTGCAAATAAAGGTGTTTTTTTAAAAAAAGCACATTGACATTTATTTCAAAATGGCCATATCTTTTTTAAGACTTCATCCAGTACATCAACTATCCATTTCATTTATCCATTTCATTTATAATCTTATTTCATTTATAATCTTTATAATCTTATTGAAATGTATGCTCCTTTCTGGTTTTTATTATAGCAACTCACTAAACACTGCTATGATTGTTGTCCTATGTGCAATACCCACAGAAATGTTTCACATACTTCAGAAAAAACATAAATGGAAATGGATTTAGAGGTTTGGGGCAACATGAAGTTTTTTTTTAAAAATGGGGAGTACTGTAATTTTTGGGTAGGTAAACTCACAAGTCGATCAGTACAGCATTTAATACAATTTGCACAAAGTATGAGTTATACATAATTGAATTTTATACAACTAATGCATTGTACATTGTACTTGTTCTCAAGGGCATATAATGAATGGCCTTAGCAAACGGGTTTCATAAGGGAAATGTTTTAATAAGCACATAAATTCTTAGAAAGAGCTAATAACACGATTAACGGAATTATTTAATTTACCATGCTATAGTATTTCAAACATAGCACTATACGTGCAGTACTTCGGCAATGCAGTCAGTGAATGCGGTTGTGGTGATACGAGTTAGGAGATGATTTCCTTTAGGATTTATATTATTCAGGACTAAGAAATCGTTATGGCTTAGCCATTTATCTGACTTGTAAAATCCGACCAGTGCAAAGAAATCAAGGTGTTTTCTAGTAGGAAATTTAATGGCACTTGAATGCATATTTGAATTAGGCGAGTATATGACTTATAATGAGACGACTTATGAAATTTCATCTTGTTTTAGGACAGCATTGGTGTTTAAGTTTCCTTTGAGCTCCAGGAAAAATGGAAAGATTTGAAAATTGGAATAGACCTGAAATGTTGTTTAACTAACCACACAGGAATGTTGGATTTTTTTTAACCAATACAATCACAAAGTGTAAAAGTGGTCAACAATTTTTCATTCGCCAGTGTTCCCTCCGTGTCTTGAACAGTTATCTATTGCTCTCTCGTTCTGGTGTTCTTGTTGTGGTCTTTGTGGAACTTTCTCTGTTGCAGTCTATCTCTCTTGGGCGCTGTCTCAGTCACTCTCTATCTCTTTGGGTGCTTTGCCTGTCCTCTCTAATGCTCACACACATTTTGGCGCTTCTGCTGTCATCTCTCTCACTCCTCTCTCAGACACTCTTGCTGTTGCTCCCCCTCTCTCACATGGTCTTGCTACCACGTTCCCTATTTATTTTGGGTCTCTACCTGTTGTGATCGCTCCAGATTCTCCTCATATTCAAATAACTCTGTAGCTAAGCTCCATCCTACATCTGCGACCTTCAGTAACTTTTTGATCTCAACCACTACTCCCCTCAACTAACACAGGTCTGCTTCTAATCTGCCCCACCAAAAATCGTGAGCTTTTAAATCATTCTACCGTGTTCTCTAGAACTCCCTCCACCTTACCCCCATCCTCCCTACCTTTAAAACCTACCTTAAGGCCTGTGAATTTGGCCACGCTTTTGGTCATCTTTTCGCCTCCCTGCTCAGGTGTCCAGTCACCTGTGTGAAGCACTTTGAGATGATCTCCTGACATGAACAGTGCTGTATAAATGTAAAGCGTTGATACTGTTACACTCATCTCTAATGCCTTCCTTACTGCCCTCCCCATCTCCACAATCCACATTCAAAATTCAGCGGCTTGCATCTTTACCTGTACTTAGTTTTGCTTGCCCCTTGTCCCAAAATGCAAGGATTATTATTATTATTAATATTATCCTTCCACGTCTCCCACCTTCCATGCTCGCTGTCCAGCATCATTATCATTTGAGAAGTTACGCAATGTGAAAGACGCAATATAAATGCAAGTTGTTCTTCCTCTTCTTCATATGGCAAGTTTGTGGTTCAGCCTAATTGTTCTTTGCTTTTATTGAACCAGTACACAACCTGCCACTGGCGTTGCATATTCCCACCCAAGCACACCAGCCAATTACACTGTGCAACAAGCCCCACCAGTGGCTCACACGGTAACTGCAGCGTATGCCCCTGTACCTGCTGCACCAGCAGTGAGACCGGCCACCTCGATAGGATATGGAAGTTATCAGACACCACACTCTGCAGCAGATTATGGCTACGGACAAAGGCAACCAGAAGCTGCCCCTCAACCGGCACCTGCCACAACACAAAGTTATCAGGTAACCTATAGAAGCATTTCCTGCTCCTGACTATTAAGGTAGCATTTTTTTTATGATTTTGTGGCAGGAGCTTTGTATACTATATCCATTCTTGGGTGTAAACTGCTTGAGATTGGCATATAGTTGCATTGGTTTAATGTATACATTGACTAAGTGTCAAAGATTAATTTTGAATTGATTATTTCAGATCTGATAATACTATGTTTCATGTATGTTCAATGGTATACGGCCAGTAGCAGTTCTTTATATTAACAACTTGCATTTCATGTGTGGTGAGCATTTTGAAACACTTCGCAGAAACAATGGGCAAGGAGGAGCGATTTAGGGTGCTGATCGAAGTTATGGTCAAGAAGGTAGATTTTAAAAGGCGCTTGAAGGCAGAGAGAGAAGGAACCAGAGGAAGGGACTTCTGAAGAGTTTGAAAGTGGTGCACATTGGGGGGTAAGTCTTGGCTGCTGATGGTGGGATAAAGGGAGTGAGGGGTATACCAGAGTCAGAAGAGCAGAGGATGTAGTGGGAGAAGAGTACAGGGGAGAGATGGCAGAAGTAGGGAGGGGCAATATTTAAAAGTCAGGATGAGTATCCACTGGGAGTGAGTGTAATCTGGCAGGATGGAGGTATTGGGCGTGCACAGCATAGTGTAGGAGAGGATAAATGATACAAGATTGGATCAGTTAGAGCTTGTGGAGGGCAGAGCTAGAGAAGCAGAGAAAAATTGACCTCAAATACCAAGGTATAGGTTAGAACTTCAGCTGCAGATGGGGTCAGAGGGCAAATGGACATGTTCAGGTGATGCACGAAAGCTATTTTGGTCAAGCACTGCAAATAAGGTTTGAATCAATCAGTTGAGGGTTGAATAAAATAATAAAGTTGCACATTGGCTTAATTAATGAGCAGCCAGGCTGAAAAGTCTCAGTGAGGGAGGAAAAGTTGAGTCAGAGACAATATTGCATTTTGTTGATGTTCATTTAAGACTTTGACTAAGTGACAATGTTGGTTTAGACAGCCTCAACCTATATAGCCTAGGATAGTTAAGTATTGGAATTTTGGGTAGAAATTGCGATCCAGAGCATCTAATAAGTGCTGTTACCTAATAGTTACCTAATGGTACCTTATTTAGTATGTACTAATTTATTTTGAAAAATAAGACAGTTGTACAACAGTGCCTGAACCTCACACCCTGAAGCGGTTGAGGCCTAATGTTTTTCCAAACAATGTCCTCAGCGTTCTATTTGTAGGCTTTCCATTTGTAATACCTGCTATTTCGGGCACTACAACTAAAAATAGAATTGTCTCCTGCATCCTGCTCTTCAATATTAGATTTACTATCACCAAGGAATTTGGGGGTGTTGGTAAAGATCCTGTTTTTATGGTCTTAAAATGCCCAGACAGATGAAAGTTAATGCAGGTCCCTGTTGTTGGACTTTTGAAGGTCCATCTGTATAAAAATTATTTTTATTTTTGGCAACTGCTACAAAAGGCGAATCGGCCTGACTTCATTTAACTACAAAACTACCGGCCTTGTATTACCTGTCTAGATAATAACCCCAATTACCATTTTGCTACAACATCTATTAAAGCTTTTTGAACAGGTATTTTGGTGATGCTAAGTTACCCTGTAAGAGTAATGGTAATTGTAATGAATTGGGGTACATTTCTCTATAACTGGATAGCAGTGCTCATTTCTTGTTAGTATGATTAGTATAATTAGTGCAGTTACTCTCAACGTCTTGTTTTGGGATGTTTCACTCTGGTCTTATTTTTGCATCAATCAACTTTTGGCCCACAATCTTAATGAGTTAAATAACATAAAGATGAATAATTCTTTTTCTGTTTCATAAAATTGAGAGTGCATTGCTCATGTTCTGCATCTCCTTCCTCTCTGTAGTTTGGCAATGAAATTTGGTTTGAAATTATATGTTGTATTATTTACAACAAACCTGAATTTACTATAGAATGTTACGAATTTTAAAGCCCTTCACACAAAAAAAAATTGGCTATTACATTAAACTGACGCCTTAATCTGCCATAGATAAAACCAGAAATCGAAGATGTATGGGAGCGATCTGGGTGAAGCACTGACTGATCTATTCCATTTTCGAATTTTTCCTTCACATGAAAAAAAAACTTTTTCAAACAGTTCCGTGAGTTAAATTTGAGAACCATAGTGTTAATTTGCATTAGAACTAGGAAGGGTTTTAATTGCACTAATAATGCTGGGATGTATAGGGAAATTTAGTGCAGGATGTTTTTAAGATCTGGATCTGTAGTCCAGATGCATTTTTGATACTAAGCAATGCGCCTTGATCAAGAGCTGGACAATATTTTACAATAATTAATCAGATTGTATATATTGCAGTTTTGAAGGCATTCAAGAACAATTTATTCTGTAGATGAAGGGGAAAATAGAGAAGAGGACATCTGAGGCGCATTAATGGGCCTGTTAGACATTGCACTAATAAACGTAAATCCTATGCGAATGCATCTGCTATTCCTTCAAATGCAGTTTCCTGGAAACAAGTTAAGATGGATGGGTGCTTAATACATCAAATGGGGAGGGGCGGGGGTGGGGGGTGGGGATGGGTACTGCATTAGTGATGCACAGCCTATTGATTTAATTTGCCATTTATAATGGGGGAAAATCTCAGTCTCATTGTTGAAACTGAAATTATTTTTCCCCTAATGAAAATGTTTCCAAATGCCAGGAAGTGGCATTAATTTAGCATATAGTGGCTAATATGTCTAATTTGAAACTTAGACTGGCAAATACAGAAAATGACCTTTTTTATTTTTTCCTTAGAGACAAATTAATCTCAGTTTGCTAATCCCTAGACCATATGTTTTTTTGTTTGTTTTGGAAGGCAGTTTGCCCAGTTTCAATTGCACAAAGCAGGTAAGTCTTAACACTTCGCACTAAATTTCCATTACAGCTTTCAAATGTCAAATGCTCTTTTGTTTTCCAGGGGGTGGGTGGAAAAAGTATCTTTGGCATTGTGTGAAAATAGTGTATAATTTTGATATTCAGTAATTCCATAATATTTAAATATTCCAGCATAAGAACAGGAGTAGGCCATTCAGCCCCTTCAGCCTGTTCCGCCATTCTATTCGATCATGGCTATTGCATTGAATCATGGGTGACCTGTACCTCAATTCCGTCTTTGCCCCATATCCTTTAAGTAACAAAAATCTACCCACACATTCTTGAAAATTTAAATAGATCCAGAATCCATCGCCTTTTGTGGGAGAGTTTCAGATTTCTACTCACCTATCCAATGGATACATCTGAGACTGCCCACAAAGCGACCAGGCATTGATTAGCCAAGCCGGGTCTGCCCACAGCAGGAAGAAAAATTAGCAGTGGTTAATGTGGCTGTAATTTTTCTCTTTTACCTCAGGATTGATGGTCAATTTCATCCACAAACAGGATCTGTTAGTTTAACACAGACTAGAGGCCGGGGCCTTCCTAATTTGTATGGCTCATTGTGGAATCATATGTTGCATTTATTCAAATTTTCAGATCAAAGCTATCATTGTGAGTTCACAGAAATGTTTCTTTTTTGGGAATGGTATTTATAGTTGGGCAACTGAGGCTTTGAAGTTGGAGTCTCTGTCTGTCTAACTTCTGGGTGGCAAAAAGTGAGACTTGAGCTGCTTTGATAAGCTCAAATCTTACTGTCTGGACTTTCCCTTCCACTCTCCCACTCATTGCATGATTTAGGCATGAACGTTTTGGACACAAGTTTTGGATCAAATGGAGGTGCATTGAATACCAATACATTTCACCTGCAGTGCATCTCATGAATTTCAGTGGGCAGGACTAAAATAATTGTGCTTTGAAATTTTAATCAACTGACTGCAGCTGGAAGATAAAATGCCTGAGTTAGTTTTAAAATTGCTGATAGTTCCAGGATTCATGTATCAGTATTCTTAACTTTTAAATACTAAAGTTCAGATGTATCTTAGTAAGATCTCAGGCTATAGACTAGGGGTCTCCAACCGGCCAATCGCGATTTACTTCTTGGAGACACAAGGAGTGGCCCAGTGGACTGCGCCAGTCCAGGCCAAATCAATACTTGTTTCCAGTAGACACCGAGCCGTGATACCCATGGCACGGCCATAAATGAAAAAAAAACTCAATAAGAAACATTTATTTGGTTGGCTGACTAAAAAGGTTGGCTCCGCTGCTATAGACCATAATCTGCATAGTCATCTTGAGAGGTTGGCTGTTGCTGTCATGCTTGACGATGAACATGCAAAGCCTGATTACAAATATTTGCTGTTCTTTTCCAAATGACCAACCACACAGCTAACAGCATGGCGTGTATTACCAGATCAGGGAAGATATTTATATTAAGTGCAGAGAAATGTCAGTCTTTTAAATCACTTTATTTAATATAAGGTTGGGGTGTTAAAGTGCGGCAATATGGTAAATTTGAAGAAAGCCCCAGAGTTCTAGGCCTATGTAGTTGTTGGGCTCATTTCTGTTTATAATGGGCGATTAATTGTCTTCCTAAAATAAGTTTGCACACCTTGATTTCAAAAGACAGGACACTGTATCAAATATCAAATGAAAATCTGATCTGGATTTAAATACTTACATGTCTCAATTGTATGTATAGACGTTCCTTTAATTTGGTTGAAAGGTGGTATTTTAAACACTTGGGATTGTAAACTCGACAAAGATGCATTTGAGCTATGCTTTTGAAATCTGAGTCTTCCCCAGGCTGTGCTATATCATAATGCAGATGAAGTGTGGCCAAATGACAAACAGACTGAATTAAAATATGTATTTTATTTTTGTCTTGCCTGATTACAGTTACTATTAGTAATATTTAATGCTGTGCATATTAGTGCTGTTCGTTAAATCATGGTAACAGAAAAATTGCACCAAAAAAACCTCGTGGCCAAGTGGCAATTTATAATACAACTGCTTGTATGTATTGGCATTGATCTTCCCATAATGAATCATAAAGTTTCTTTCTGCAGCCATACTACGATCAAGGAGGAAATTCGGAAAAGACGGAGTGGGGTTGGATGACAGATTTGATCTATGGTTCATCTAAGGTGCTTGTGGAGAAAGCTTAATTAACTTTGTATGTAAAGTAGCTGCTAAGCTTAGCGCTCAGAAAATCACGTTTTTTTAATGTTTTTAAAAAAATTAAAGCTTAGTGTAACCACTGTGATATATTTTGAACTCGTTTTGTAGGGAATACAATTTGGAAACATCTTTTCAACTACATATCTGTATACAGAAGATACACAGCTGCTCTCCTTTATTATTTGCATTTGATATAGCACCTTATCACATTTTCGAAATCTCAAAGCTCTTCACAGAATATACTGTAAAGTGAATTGACTATATTTTGTGGGCGAAACGCGGCAGCCAATTGTGAACAACAGTGACCCACAAATAGTCGTGGATAGAATGACCTTTTAATATTTATGAAAAGTGAACCTGACCATATATGACCACCAAAGCTTGGGTTGACTATTTCTGACCCACTTCCCGAATGGTGTATAGCCATTGCATCATGCCTAGCAATTGTGCAGACTACACCTGTGTAGGTGTAGCAAATGATAATGCTTATCATTTGTGACCTATGTTTTTAATTTATATATTACAAGGGAACCTGAGCATTTCTGGAAATCGATTGCATTGATCTGGTTCACAAGTAATATACAAATTCTGTACCACAGTACCTACCTGCGCAGTCAGTTCATAATTTCAATTTTTCAAGTATGATTTTAAATAATACCATAGCTGCATGGGGCAGTAAAATATCATTGTAAGTCCCAATGAGAGGTAGCTGTAGTATAGTCAGCTCTCCATGGGTGGGTAAACGTATGGCATATATATGTCATGCACTCATTGGATTAGTTCGAAGTATTTTGGAGACGACAAAGCACTGTGCGGCATTTAGATTGATTTTAGTGGCTTTGGAGAATAGATTATTGTAAAGAATGCTGAATGTTCTGTATTGCAGTTATTTATGTATTCTCCTTGTCTAATGTAGGACAGTTACAATTATGCACGTCCCACATCAACACCCACATCAAGTTATGATAAGCAATATTATCAACAACCTGTTTCAGCTGCTCCTCAGCCTCAACCTCAGCACACAGCCACAGAATCGTACTACCAGACAGGTGGGCCAAACATGGTTTACCTTCAATTATTTCCTCCAAACCTGAACCTGCTGGGTGTATTTCCATGGGTATTGACAGCAGATTTAAAGTTTATATTGTTGCTTATTGAAATAGCTGATGTATTATGCAGCTGATGTATATTTAGTAACGTACCTAACAGCCATCAAATATTGATATGACTGCTTCATCACTTGTATTGATTAATGGGGAAAATTGTAGTAATGGGGAAACATTTAAATTATTGAAATGATGGGGAGAACTTTCTATTATTGACCATTGAGATAGGTTCAGTAAAAGTACAGTGTATCTTGGGACATTAAACTATCTAGTAATCAATATTTGGAAGACTGATTTTGTAAAAAGCATTAATAGTGTTTGCAATTATGGGTTTGTATTGTGTGAAAACATAAGGTTATGCATTAAAGCCCCTACTTTTGGGTTATTTAAATTGAAAGCCTTTAATCTCTCTTCCCCTCTCTCTTTCACTGTAGCCCCTAAAAACAGTTTCAGTCAGTCTGCTACCCAGTACACGCAAGCCCAGCAGCCAAGACAAGTTACTGCAATAAAACCTGCACCCACTCCAAGCCCTGTTACAACCAGTTACACAGTGTATCCAGTGGTGACAACTGTCCAGCCAACTATCGCACCAGCCACAGTTGCAGTATCTTACACACAGACTCCCACATACAACACAACACCAGTTAGTTATTCAGGTAAGTAGCTTGACTTCTTTTTAGAAATTGCCAATCTTACGTTGTCTGGTCTGTTGTCTGGTGAAGACTTCAATTTATAATCTGTTTTATGCACGTTTTGCTAATTTGAGGAAGTGCAAGCAGAAAGTGCCACCAGTTTTCAGGGCTGGGCAACAACTGAAGTAGCCATTGCAGTGTCTGGAGCAGAATTCTCATCTCTGCCTAAACCTAACTTGAAGGTTTATTTTGATAAACTTGACATGCCTGTAAGCACCAAAGTGAGCCAAATTAGCCTAGTGGTACCAGTCAATGTGTCGTACCTTTGAATTGCATCTTACCTAACAAGTAAATTTGACAGATTTTTTTTTGTTGCAATGAGTTGAGTTCTTGGTCGGACATCTAAGTAATATCTTTCAAAAAATTCTCCTCTGAGGGAGCACTAGTATTCTTACTGTATTTAAAATTGATTGTGCAAGTAATGGGCTGCAGACTTGATTTTGCACAGTACGCGAACTTACTGTTCTGAGATTAATATTGGGGATTGGCTATTCTCTGAAATCTGGTTGATAATTTACATCAACACAGGATCAAATTATTCTGGTTATGAAGCTGCTGTGTACTCTGCTGCGACGTCATACTATCAGCAACAACCCAAACCACCAGCCACAACATGGACTAGCGCTGGGACCGGAACCAACTCCAACACCGGGAACACAGGGTTCGTTAAAAAGCCTGCCTTCCAGAGCAAGCAGCAAAAACCGAAGCCACCGCCCAAACAGCCACAACTCCACTATTGTGATGTGTGTAAAATTAGCTGTGCTGGCCCACAGGTAATTGATTGATTGTGAGGAAGAGAATCGGAATGGGTGATATAACTTGGTGCATGGTCTGTTTACAGGCATGAGAGTGTACCTCTGAGCTAATCAAAGGTGTTGAATTTAGTGTCAGCTTGCTCTGTCGGTAGCACTCTTGTCTCTGAGTCAGCAGGATGTAGGTTCAAGCCCCCACGTCAGGACATTGTACTTATAGTCTAGGCTCAAAATACAATACAACCAGGGTTCATTCTGCCTCTTTGGGTGGACACTAAAAATCCACTGGCACTATTTGAAAAGAGAAGGAAGATTCTCTCATTTTCTTGACCGACAATCCTCTGGGTAAAATTGTCATTCAATTAATAGCTGTTTGTAGGATATTGCTTTGTGCAAAAGAGCTACAGTATTGACCTACAAAATACACTCCCGACATAAAAGGTACTATATCAAAAGTAAGGTTTGTTATTATTTTAGGCCATCAAAAAGAAATAAGTCCCAGCACTTTTATATCCAATGATTTGATGCTTTCACAAGCCTGACTATACAGGGAAACTTAGTGTGAGTGTAATGTCGGAAGGTGTTTAAATGAGACTGTTTCTTTCAGGACCCTACTATGCTACCCACCCAATATATTAATAGTTATCTCTATTTGCCTATTTTCTTCCGTCCTCTTCTAAAACCATCAGTTTGTGCTGGAGTTGGGTTCTGATTCTGCGCTTAGCCCTTGGGTTCATAGAATCGAAGAATATTACAGCACAGAAGGAGGCCATCGTGCCTGTGCTGGCTCTTTGGAAGAACTGCCCAATCAGTCTCACACCCCCGCTCTTTCCCCATATTCTTGCAAATTTTTCCTTTTCAAATTGTTGGCAGTTGTTGTCACCATTGCTAAACACACTGAGTCCGAAGCTGACCTCGCTTTCCATTTCAAGCACACACTTTCAGTAAATCATTCTGATGTCAATTGGAAATAAGAATCCTGGTTGGTGATCTTTATTTTGTGCTGGGCATATTTCAAGCCTTGAGCCTACCTGTTTATGCTTAAAATGTTCTTTTTTAGTAATAACTACAATGCTATAGGATTCTGGGTATGTTGACAAACTTGAAGGTTTCAATCCTACATTATAATTTTTTAAATTAATTTGTTGAAAAGTCTAAAATGCAATATAAATTTTAATCTTAGAGCAACTTTCATGTTGGGAGGACATAGGGAGGTTGGTGGCAGTGTTGGCTAGAACATTCTTCCAACACTCGGGTTTTAATCAAATCCAGGCTGATGGGATGAGTATCCTATCCTGTGACTCTTAAACCTCCATGGGGTTGATTGGTTGTTATGCAAAACTGCCTGTTGCATCGCAGCTAATGTACGAAGTAGATCATGTAATTACAGTATTGCATGGATACTATTTTTATGGCTTGAATAAGACATTGCCTGGCTCTTCGCTCAGGGTCTTGTCTTTGAATCATGCATAGTGGACAGTTGTTTGGTGTTGAGCCTTGGCATTCTTCATAATAATATACAAAAAACCTCAGAATCCTAAAATGTTGAGTTCAGAAATGACCTGGGATAAGGAAATTAATTAATGTTCAACCAAGCTTAGCAGAACTATCAGCCAGTCAAATAACACTTAGCAAAGCTCCATAAATTCTTTGGAATGATGCAACCAAATGTTGTGGTTTATTTGCAACAATTCAAAATCCTTTAATTATTGTGTATACATTTGTGTGTAAAAAGCTACACCTGGAAGATACTACACTGTCCTATAACCGCTTGCAAAGAAAAGATGAAATCCGGTGCATGAAAAATACTACTGCCTTAAGCGCTCCGGGATGCTACCCCTTGTGAGCGGCGCTATATAAATGCAAGTTGTTGTACCTGTGAATGTACTTTGTAGAGTCAATTTTATTAGTGGATTAGCTGTAAAAATCCTCTTTTTTAAGACCTATAGGGAGCATTTAGAAGGCCAGAAGCACAAAAAGAAGGAAGCGGCTTTAAAAGCTGGGAACCAGACGAGCAGTGGGCCACGTGGTGCCCAGGGCCAGCTTCGGTGTGAGCTGTGCGATGTCTCCTGTACAGGTGCTGACGCCTATGCTGCACACATTCGAGGAGCCAAGCACCAGAAGGTATGAGAAGCTGTGGGTTAGCCACTCTAATGAAGGCTATCGCTGAACTGTTGGATTGAAATATGAAAGGCAAAGCCCAATATCCATGAGAGTTTATTTCAAATGGCAATTTTGAAAGCACTAATGGCCAGCCTCCTTCAGATCTGAGATGTGAAGCTTGCAAGGGCTGATTACTTTGTTGAGCAGAGATAGGATCTGAAATGAGGTGCCTGAAATCCCTGCTGCTGAGGTCAGATTTGTAGAGATTCAATTGCACTTTCTTTTAGTGTTCTTCTGGCTTCAGTTTTGCTCTTGGTCTTTCCATGCCAGCACAAGCCAGATAGAAGTGTTACACTCAGGCAGCAATGCAGTAACACTGATTGAGGTTGGCGACCCAGGCTTTGGGGGAACAATGCTGCAATGCTTAACAGATCTTAATAGTTTGATATTGAGCACAATTAATATAATTTTGTTTTACGAAACAAACTACTCCCTTTGACAAAATGCATTTTAATCTTGTTCACTGTTTGTTGTCATACCTGAGTATCTTCATTAATGTTTTGAATAATCTTTGTAATAGGGGCCCATTCCCACCCACTTGGGAGAGAGCAGTCTTTCAACAACATGAGTTCCCAAGTTTTATTTTCGATATCATTGCTGAAGGATTTAAGTTGCAAAGAAACAGTTGATGTTCTAATCTTGTGTCTTAGTCCAGATTTCACTTGGCTGTCCAAAATTGATGCAGTGACTGAAACCATGGCAGCAGTGGTTAGCTGTTTATTTTAAAAGATTTTATTGAGGCTTCAGCTGTACTATATAACACTGACAAAGTTTGCTGAGAAGTTTATAACCAACTACTTCATACTCTGTGCCTTCCTGCAGGTTGTTAAATTGCACACCAAACTTGGTAAGCCCATTCCCTCGACTGAGCCAGTTGTAGTGAATTCAACGCCTGTTCCTCTAAGTAAGCCAGTCAGCAACAGTACCACCACCAATACGGGCACCACACCAGCAGCCAGCCAGTTGCCTCCCAAACCAGCTGCTGCCTTCACAAATAACACAAACAAAACACCACCAGTACCAGTGAAGAAACCCGTCACTCCCAAAATTACATTTGTAGGTACGTAAGATTGTATTTGCATGGTGGTCTTCAGCATCTGTGTGATGATTTAGTTACTGTACTCAGTACATCTCCTGTAAAAATGTAATCAGTGATCTGTGTATTTGTCTGTTGCACAGATTCATTCAGTGTATGTGAGGCTGTTATTTATCCATATATAGGTGGATACTCACCCAGGTGAGTATGTTGTTAGGAACTTGGTATTTAAAGAAGACTTGACATAAAATCATAGAAACTTTACAGAGCATAAAGAGGCCACTTGCCCCACTGTATCAGCCTGGTGGTAAATCCCACGAGAACTATTTAATCCCATTCCACTGCTCCCCTCACTGTACCATTTAATATTTTCATATTTGTCCAATTGCACTTTAAATGCTGTTATGGATTCGGCTTCAGGCATCATTACGCTAAGGCTGAGTGAGAACTGTTAAAAACAATCTTTGGTAAATTTGAAGGAAGTTTATAGTCTGTTCAGCGTATTGTCAGTGGTCGTCATGTTAGATGTGCTGCTGCAGTAAGTACGTTCAGTGGGAGATGCAGCAATGATCTGCAGTGGGTGGCTGCAGTATCTGCAAGCAGTGATACAATGGTGAATCTGTATGTAGTGGTTTCAGGGTGCTGTGATTCAGGAATCCTCCTCTGCTTGCAGGAGGTAACAAACTACCGTCAATGGGAAACAAAGTTGAAGAAATGAAAGTCCCCAATTCTAAGCCAGAACCCCAGATGCAAGAGTTCAAGCCCGAACAGAATGTAGCACCAGCTCCTGCTCCTGCCATCCCGGCCCAGCTTCAGAACGATGTGCAGCCTGTGGGACATGATTATGTTGAAGAGGTAGATCTGTCTTTATATCACCCCTATATCCAAGGATGAGAGGGAGGGGCTTTGTTACTTTAAGCTTTTGTAATAATGTGATGGAGGAAGCTCCATTATGAATTACTAGTGAGTATGGAATGGGACATTAATTGGCCCATGCCAAATGCCAGTAATCATTGTTGGATTCTTACCCAAGGAATGATTGAGTGTTTCAGTTGCCCTACTTATAAATTGCATCTTTTAGCGACTGAGGGGTGGGGGTGAGGGGTAAGAAGATGAAATTTATGAGTTCCAAAAGTGACATTGTGATTTATTATAAGTTACACAATATTATTCCGGCTTGGGACAGCGCCTTGGGATGTCCTCCCGATGTCAAAGATTGTATACAAATGTAATCTTTTTGTTGTTATTTCAAATGCTTTGCTCAGTACCAAACTAGGAATAGGGAGGCTATTAACAAGCAAAAATGACTTTATTTGCAAGTTTTCAGATTGTAAAAATATAACTTTACAAAACTGTGTTCCTACGTAGGGTAAGACAATATTTATTTGGCCCATAGAATATTGAGATCTTGTGGGTAAGTTTAAATTGATATTCGGACTTGTTACTTCAGTGGTAAGCTTTTGAAAAATGTGTCTCAGATTTTGGTAATGTTTTTTTCCTCGTCTGTGTTTTTCATTTAAGATTTCCTCAGACCGTTTTTGTAATTTGTGCTTTGTGCAGGTTCGTAACGATGAAGGAAAAGTGATCAGGTTCCACTGTAAGCTTTGTGAATGTAGCTTTAATGACCCAAACGCCAAGGACATGCACTTGAAGGGCCGCAGACACAGGCTACAGTACAAGGTACCCTGGATGCATACTTTATTTCATATTTGTTGTATGCTTAAATCCTACTTGAACATATTAACATGTAAGCTTGGTCAGATTTGTAACTTTTTTTCTTGAATTCTACTTGTTGGCAGTTCACGTTTGGGGGAGGGTGTGTTGTGTATCCTTTATGTGATTAAAGGATTGACCACAGTTCTAAGTGGTTGATACTCTTGAGGTATTCCCAATCGATTGAACCATTCTCACCTCTGTACTAATAAGATTGCTTACATTTGATGTAGTACTTTTTACTTGGAGGCGTCATCCCAAAGGGCTTCACGGCAGTGACTCTATTTGTAATGCAGCAACCAATTTTTGCACAACAATATCTGACAAGCAGTCATGACCCTAATGACCAATTTTACATGGGGGATTATTGGCCACGGTCCCATGGGATCTTTAACGAACGGATGGGACCTTGGTTTAGCTTCACGTCCGAACAGAGGTATCTTCAACAAGGCAGCACATGCTCAGCATTGCATTGGAATGTCATCTTAGACTATGAGTTCCAAGACCTGACCACAACACTCCCACCCTCGCTCGCCTCCACTGGTTCCCCATCCCCCAGAGGATCGAATTCAAGATCCTCAGCCTCATCTACACGGCCATTCACGGCCTCGCACCCTCCTACCTCTCCGACCTACTATCCCCCCACGTACCTGCCTGTATCCTCCGTTCCTCTGGCTCCGGTCTGCTCTACATCCCCCGCCCTAACCACCCTACCATCGGTGGCCGGGCTTTCAGCCTCTCAGCCCCAAGGCTCTGGAACTCCATCCCCCAGTGCCTTCGCCTTGCCTCCTCCCTTTCCTCTCAAGACCTTTTTCTTCAACTGTGCCTTCAGCTCCCCTCTCGACTCTCTCCCCTTCCTCACTCCCTCCCTTCCCTCCCCTCACCCTGATCACTTACCCCCTGCTCAGGTCCCGACACAACTGTCCAGCGCCTTGGGACGTCCTCCCGACGTGAAAGGCGCTCTATAAATGCAATCTTGTTGTTGTGGGGCTTGAACCCACAAACTTGTGACTCAGATGCAAGAGTGCTTCCAACTGAGTCAGGCTGAACCCTTGTAGCTAAGCAGTAGGAAATTGGCTCGAATGAATCAGATAACTGAGGGGCTAGTTGGTTGGATGCATGTATTTCACTGTATGTCTTTGACCAAAGTGGGTTTTATCTGGTTTGAGATGTTTTGAGCACTGTGCTCTTCAATAAAAAAAATTTCCTGTTTGAATTCAGTGAGCATTGCCTTCAAGTGCATGGTTGATGTTGTGTTGCTTTCTAAAGAGTAACAATCACAATTATTTTCTCTTTGCCTTCAAGAAAAAAGTGAATCCAGACCTTCAGGTTGAAATCAAACCAAGCATCCGAGCCAGAAAAATCCATGAGGAGAAGATGAGGAAACAGATGCAGAAGGAGGAATACTGGAGGAGGCGTGAGGAAGAGGAGCGCTGGCGAATGGAAATGAGGTAAATTTTTCATTCTGCTTTGCCAATTTTCTTTTGAAAACATTTGACACCTTTTCCCTTCTACTGGGATGCAGCTGTACGGGTATCAGGGGCTGAACTTATCTGGGGACAGTGGTATTCATGCTATACTTCGACTCAAATCTCCCTGAGCCAGGAAAGTGGGACTTCCTTCACGGTTCCTGCTCTTGATTCCTATCTATTCATTGTTCCTCTTCCCCATCCCCACCAAACGCCTAGTGGGAAATGTATCATGCGTGGGCAAAATTGAGTTTGGCTGGAATATTTCCCACAGTGTAATAGAAACTCTGTGCCGTGTAAACTTCCTGTATGAAGAATGGTCACTGGGAAAGGGCATTTGTACTCGAGCATAAATCATTGGTAGGGAGCGAAGGGGCTATTTAAATAAACAATCTGTATTTGGCAAGGACAATTGTTCCTTCATTTCACCTCTCACTGCTTGGTTGTTTTTGATAAAAGCCAATGAGGACCATTGAATGAGAGGATCTGCAGTTGGTAATTGTAGCAGTGAATTGTGCAAGTGTAAATTGCAAGATGTATTTGTGGGCAATACTTTTTTAACTCCAATACTAAATCTATCCGATTGATATCATTAGTATGGACTCCAACCCAAGACCTCTTCAGACAGGATTGACAGAAGTACATGAATCTCATTTTGTAATGTGTCTTCTAGATTATCCCACCTCTGTTCCCGTGTTTTCAGGCGATATGAAGAGGACATGTATTGGCGAAGGGTAGAGGAAGAACATATTTATTGGGAAGAACAGCGTCGCAGGTTAGCACCAGACTGGCACCCACCTCCACTACTGGGAAGACTAGGCATGCCACAAGCACCTGCACCTATGGTATGTTTCACATCGAGAAAGAAATTGAACAATTTCATTGTACCATCAAAACTGTTTAATCATGAACTCCCAACTTCATGTTGGTACCAGAAATATCCACCATTACCAGCACAAAAAATCTTGGGCCCTTCAAAATTCAATTTGGTATATAAAGATCAGTGTTTCATTTGGCGAAATCCAATTAAATGTTTTGTTGTTCCAAATCTGTTACAATTTGCTTTCTCTTCCACATTGCCTTCACTCAGCATGTGAAAACGGTAGAGAAAGCAGCACTCTCCCAGTCACCAATTCTTCAGTGTGAATATCTTACTTGAAACATGCCTCGCTGTTTATACTGGCAGCCGCTTTCTTCCCATCAAGTGGAGTCTGGAGCGAGGAAAGTTTCATCTCTCTCAACCCTGCAAAAATAATTTGCTGCTCTTCAGTGCATTGGATATTGCAACACTGTAGACGCGAGCCAGAAAGCAATATGTGTATTTGACAGGGATCAAGAAGCAAAATAGTGCTTTGTTTTAAAATAAGAATGTAGGACATATTCCATTTCCCAGTTATAATCCAAAATAAGCTACAGAACATGACGGTTGGATCGGGAAGTAGAGGTGAACTTCTGACGAGACTGCTGTATTCCTGTTACAGGGAAGATTTGCACTTGTCAGCAAGTTTTCTTTAATTTGTTTATCTTAACCGGTTAATTAAGTATGACGTATAGAAATCTTTTCAGTTGAGTGCAGCTGCTGACCCATCGTAATTAAGCTTGCTCCCCTGGGTTTGCTCTGCTTTAACCTCTTTGGTCCTTTGACATACATTCTCAGGTAAGCAGGTGATCTCGCTTCTCTGGGCTTCAGCAATTGCTCTAAGCAAGGTTGGCTTGCAGTCCCTTTTCCTGAAAGGAGGTTCTTTAATAATAATACTAATAATTATTATAATCCTATTTGCGCCTTATTACGTCTTCAAGATGTCTCAAAGCGTTTCACAGAGTATACTGTAAAGTGAATTAACTCTTCATTTTGTGAGCGAAACGTGGCAGCCAATTTCTTTACATCCACTTCACTGTTGGTTCCTAATTGTTGATGTGTCAGACTAATTTTCCAGTAGCGCATGAAACATTTTCCTCTTTAAATGCCAAGAGTGACCTAATCCTCGCTCTGGTTTAGGCCTTTATTTGTATGTTTCAGCCTCCACGGCGTCCTGATTCTTCTGACGATCGGTACATAATGACCAAGCACTCAAACATCTATCCCACGGAAGAAGAATTGCAGGCCGTGCAGAGGATTGTGTCGCAAACCGAGCGGGCCCTCAAGCTGGTCTCTGATATGATAGCTGAGCCAGAAGGCCAGAAAAAGGAACCCGAGAAAGAGAAGGGGTAAGGTATCTGGTACTGAGACCTTGTGTACAGCTGCAAAAAGACTTTACAATGCAGATTTATCCAAGTATGTTTTTCACACTGATGATATTAAATATGCTGTTAAATATGTTCTTCATCATCCAGGACAGGTGATTGTTCCATTAGAGCAACACAGAAGCATGTGGAATAATTTTACAGGCACTCGTTTTCATCTCTTCCCCTAACCTTTTTGTGACGTGTGTAGCACAGTCCAGTTATAACCTCAGCTTCAGCAGTCTGTGATCCTGATTGCTCACATTTAACAATTGTTTTTTGTCAAGATTTGTCAGGGTGAAAATAAACCATTCATGTATCTGAGCTGCCAGGAAAAGTTTGATCTGTGGTCTGTGTTCAGTTAACTGATGTCAGCTGGGAAGCAGGCTGTTACAATAAGTTTTAACACCCTCTGTTTGGGAGGTACAAATTCACCAAAGGCAAAGGCTTGCTCGCCTGACTCCATTGGTTTCCTATCCTTCAGAGGATCTCCAGTTCAAGATCCTGGTCCTCACATACAAAGCCCTCAATGGCCTCGCCCCACCCTACCTCTGCGACCTCCAAACCCCCTCCAACCCGCCCGTTCCCTCCGCTCAACCGGCTTTGGCTGCTCCATGTCCCCCGCCCCACAATTGGCGGGAGAGCCTTCAGCCACTCTTCCCCCAACCTCTGGAATTCTATCCCCCAGTCACTCCGCCTCGCCTCCTCCATAGCCTCCTTCAAGTCCTGCCTCAAAACCCTCTTCGACCATGCCATCGGCCACCCCCCCCCCGACCCCAGCTCGGGTCTGAAATGCTGACACTGTCCAGCACCTTGGGACGTCCTCCCGACGTGAAAGGCGCTATACAAATGCAGTCTTGTGTTGTCTCGTGATCCATGTCCAGTGAGGAAAGTATGTTCTCTCAATTCTTCTTTCTCCTTTCCTCACCAAGAATTGGTTGTCAGTCGAGATTGATTTTCAATGTGAATCTCCCCAGTAATCTGACATTTGCAGTTTCATTTCACACCTGATGAATAGCCACTTGAGCAGGGTACAAACAAAGGTCTAGCACCTGTGTTACTGTACCCAGGAAGAATTGGTGCCATCTGTGGCAGGTGGAGGGAAAGGTGATTGAGACAGTTGGAGTAGTCAGGAAGATTGTGAAATAAGAAAGTTTTAACAAAAGTAATAGGTTTATTTGGCTGGTTTGCATCATTTTTTCCATGAGTTCCTTTTTCTGAAGTTTCTGGAGTAGAGAATTGAAACATTGATAATATAAGGATGAAACATTTCATCTCTTAAAAGTGGATGCTGAAGAGAATCAGAACAAACGGTTGTGGTGGGTCTGAAGGTGAGCGAACGTGCGTGTCTGAACGAAAGAATTGTTTCCTTTGTACAATTATGGCTGCCGAGCTTGTTACTGGCAGGTATAAATACTAAAGCCATCATGTTTAACACTGTCTGCCTGTCTTTCTTTCTCCTCCACCTCCAAACTACTCCAGGATACTCCACAGCAGTGATTATAAGTGTATTGAAAAAGTTAAAAGCGGGGGAGTGGGACTAGTTGGTAGTTCTTCCAAAGAGCCGGCGGCCAGGCATGATGGACCGAATGGCCTCCTTCTGTCTTGTAATATTCTGATTCTAAAGCTATAGGATTCTAAAAAGAGTGGCTCGCTCCATTATAGTAAAATTACTGTAATGGAGTTTCGCCCACAGAATGCGCAGTCAATTCACTTTACAATCTAATCTGTGAAGTGCTTTGAGATGACTCAACAACATGATAAGGTGCTATATTAAATTCAAGGATTGTTATTACGTATTTGCAGAATTTGCACCTTAATTGGTGTGATATCCTATTATAGTCTTGCTAGATTTGAGTCCAAAACGTTGGAGGTGTTTAATCATCAGTTTTTTTCCTGCTCCAAACACTTGCTTATGATTTTCAGGCATTTGGCTATTACCTCCTTCCAACTTGAGTTAAAGCTATATATCAGGAATATTGATCTCATAATGAAACCTTGATTTATGCACTGAGTTCCATTCTCTTCATAGCACCCAAAGAAATCCTGTTTGCAATTAATAAATGTGTTGCAATGTGGGTTACAACTTGTGCTGCTCGTAACCATAGTAGTATGGGCAAATATCCCATCACTGTTCAAATAGCTGCTGTTAAACTTAATAGATGAGGTAGTGTTGACATATGACTGCATTCTTACTCTATAGCACCTCATTGTTTCTCTTAAGTATTTAGTAAGCTAAACCTTGATTATCTGCTGGGGTCCACCCCATTATTGTGGATAATCGAGGTTCTACTGTATTTACCCATGTGTCTTTGTCAGTTTAGCTCTGTTGGTAGCTCTGTCATCTCAGAGTCAGAGATTGTAGTTTAAATTCTATGTTAGAACTTAAGTTCTTGACATTCAAGTAGTCTTGTAAGCGCACTACATGGTCAGAAATGCAATCTCCCTGTTTTAGTGGTTCAGATTAATTTAAAGATCCTTTGACCATTTTGATGCTATATCAAATGCAAATATTTTATGATCCCAATTTAACTCCCAATTAAAGCATGCTTTCCTTTTTCTGGCTTGCTTCCTTCTACTGCAGTTTTACACTGAAGTCTTGCACCAGTGGAGCTCTCCTGTGCTGACACTTCCCCTTTCCTTCCCTTTTGATCTTTTGATTTTATCTCATTTCTATTGTGTCCATTTAATGCTTGCTACCTGGGTGATGCGATTGAGGTCCAAAGTCTTGTTTATATTGAGCAGGTTGAATGTAGATGTTCTAACATTCGATAGACTTGTTATGGACACCACATTTAGGGGAGAAGGTGGGTGAGGTGATGAAATAAAAAAGACTCAAGTATTTGGTATCTATGCACCATTTTCTTGGAGAAGAACAGTGAGTTCTGCTGTTTGAGATTCTCCTTGAAGTAGTCCAGTTAGGGCGAACGCATCAGCCCTCTTGCCACTTGACGGGGAGATGGGGTCTGATTTGATCCATGGTGTGTTGAAGACTTTTTTGTTCACAATCGTTGCTCCCAAATGGACAATGTGCTGATCTCCAGCAGCCTTGTTAAACGTAGCGACCATGAATATGATGAATCCAGCCATGCTCTGGATTTTACTTGCTTCTCAAAACCCAGCTGCCCTGAGAAATAAATTTCAATGAGTCCCCCATTGAGTCAATGTGTTTCAATGAGTCCCCTATTCCAAATCAATCTGTTGAAATTGTCCAAATGCACTGGTGAATATCTTCCAGTAATATCTGCTTTCTTTTTTTCCAGAGAAATTTTTATTTCTCATGGACCAATGCGGGGTGAAGAAGAGAGAGGTGGAATGCAATAAGATTACAAGCATTGTAAACCTTAAACATGGCTGGAGATCAACAAGCCTGAGTGGGAGGTTAAATAATAAACGAGGGGGAGCTAAACTTTCTTTTAGCTCCTCTACTCCCAGTTAATCTTTGCTCTGAACAGTCAAGTAACCTGACTAGTTGGAACTCTCTTTAATCTCACAGCTGTGAGCAGGGCAGCAAAGTTGGACACCTTCGTGCTGCTCGTGTAAGGCAATATGGAATGTCAGTGATGGGGCCATTGGATCACCCTCTGGTGATCTAGATGTTGACAGGAGTAAATCGGCAGACAAATGTTCTGGTGTCTGCCGTTTACCCCTTCTTCACCATTTTGTAGTTAAAAGATTATTTCTCCTCTCCCTCCCTCCCCCCACCCCGCCTCAGAGTTGGAGGAGTTTTTCTCTGAGGTCGATCTGTCTAGGTTATCAAGCCAAAAGCCACAGCCTTGACTGAGAGATTTTCATCTTGAGGGAATTAAATACAAGAGGCTGTTCTGGGAGAGCCCCTGAGGCTGACAGCTTTTGACTGGATTTTATAAGACCTTTAGAGATTTGCTTCCACCTTTTTTTCTGCTTCAAACCTTTGCTGAGATAGGGTGGTTTCCCTGAATCTTTCAGCCTGGCCATGGGTTCTTCTATCCCTAAGAAGGGCGGGATCCAGTGGATTGTGCTAAGTGTCGGCCCGTCTCCCTCATCCATTCGGATTTTCGGATTGCAAGATTTTTGCGTCTCGTCTCCAGGGTGATCTCAGACCTGATTCATCTGGACCAGGTAGGCTTCATCCAGAAGAGATTAGCGGCTGACAACACAATCGTTTGTTTCCAAATTACGGCATGCAGGGAGCTTGGATGTCCTGCCACTGTCGCCGTATCCCTCCATGTAGAGAAAAGCCTTTGGTGAGGTTCAGCCTCTTATCTTTGACCTGAAAAGAAATGTGGGTTTGGCCAGGCCTTCATCCACTGCATGTGTGGGCTCTGGGCATGCTTGGCAGGCTCTGCCAGGGTTGTCCCTATCTCCCTTGCATTCATGCTTACTCGATAGGCTCTTGTTGCCTGTGTCTGGTCTGGACCAGTCTGCTGTTGGATGGGATAGGGGTTGGCAGTAGGCATACAATCTCACTGCATGCTGGTATCCTTTTGTTCTCCGAGTTGCACACCACTGCTCCCTGTTACTACACTTGGTTGGTTCGGTTGCCTCTCGGGGTCTTGTGTTGGTTCAATTAATATTGATGCCTTCTATTCGTAGATAGCTAGTGGAGTGTTACAAGCTGCAACACTCTTGTCGGAAGGTGGGGGCGGGGAGGGAACACTGTTAGGACAATATCTTAAGCTATGAGAGCATTGCAGCAAACTCCGGCCAATAATTCGTCTTAAGTTTCTTCCATGCAATGTTTGTAATTGGAATTGAGAACTAGTGCCAGGGTCTCTCTCTGCCCCTGGTGTTACTGTTATTGTGGCCACAGCCTTTCGTTGTAGTTCTGGAGTCCTGTGATTTTTTTTTAGGTGTTAGACCGGGCAATTTTTTACTGGAAAAATGTACGGTCTCCATGTGTGGGAATGGGAATTCACTGAAAGCTGTGTTTTAATATAAGCAGCCTGCACAATATTGAATTGTTTCAGCACGCTCCAAACCTCCTCCTTGTTTGCCCCGCCCTCTAGTGCTAGTAACCAAGTGGTACAGGAAGAAGCCTGCAAATCTGACTTTGCTTACGCGATCGCTGGACTGTATCCTAGATCACTGATCTATTCTGTTAATAGTTGGTTAGATCTTAATTTGTTTTTGTATTTTAACCTTTACTAAGAACTGTTAGTTACAGAGTTACCTTAACCTTTGCGGGTGTTACCCTGGACTAGAGAGTCATATTACCCGTTGCTCTTGACGGTGGTTAAGAAGCTGTCGTATTCTTACAGAAAAGGTGACTCTGGAACACGTGTGCTGAAAGGAGTCATGCGTGTGGGAGTGTTGGCGAAAGGATTGCTTCTACGCGGAGACCGAAGTGTTAACCTTATCCTGCTCTCTGCCCAGAAACCAACGAAAGTCCTCTTGGAGAGAATTACAACTAACCTCCCCAAACAACTCTCGGTAACACTGCTGTACTGAATTTCTGCTGTGCAAAGCTCTGTGCAACTATGGATACTGCAAAATTTAGCTTTAGTCTTTAATTGAGTATCCATATTTCCAATACCTGACTTTCAGTAAGTTGTGTAATGCATGTAGAATGAGTCTAAAAGATTCTAAGAACTTAGTTAATTCTTGTTTTTGTATCACAAAAATCAGTGTCTAACTTTAAAATTGACTTGTTTCAAAGTAGTTATTGAGTCTCCTCTAGCTCCAGATTTAACACTGGAATGTTGCTTTACAGACGGTAACTGAGGAAACGTATGAAGTGAAAAGCTGCCCTCAAGACTCCAGCATTGTACTCTCTACAAATAAAGAGCCCAAAATGCAGGTCACGATTTCAGTCACATCGCCAGTCATGCGAGATGATGGTGTGAAGGACAAAGGTGAGGTTCCCTGGAGCAGTGCAAAGTGAGCCTGATTGTACCAACACAGGCACTTACCTGAATCACTGGCCTGGAATGGAGAATGGCCACAAATTTCATAACAGGATATAATCGAGTTGTGGCAAATACTACCATCTGCAAAAAACTCATAAATACCTTTTATTGATCTGATTTTCAATGTTTGTTAATATTCTTCTCTTCTCTCTCTTCCTCTCCCCTTTCCCCCACTCCCCAAAAGAGAGTCCTGATAAAATCACAGTTTTTCAGTTTAAAGCTGCAGGTAATGCGTTACCTTTACAACGGCCTGCCAGTATTACAACTCTGCACATCACTGCGAATTACTAATGACTGCTATGCAAATATCCTCTTTTATGTTTAAGAAGATGAGCCCACTGCCCCAGTGCAGGATCCCCCGGATATGTTGAACAAACAAAAATGTCTCGAGGCTCTGGCTGCCCTTCGTCATGCCAAGTGGTTCCAGGTAAAAATAGTATTCTAACAATTTTAGAATGTACATTATGAGGAATAGGAGTGACCCTGCTCCTCCATTAGGTTTATATCCTTCACCATCCTTAATTTTTAATAAAAATCTCATTTTAACGTTTCAATTGACTGCTTAGGGCCTTGTACATAAGTATCCTTTTTTCACTTTCATCATCATAATGGGGATACAACTGGTTGAAACATTATTTTCCACATGTGTATAACTTGATAATTATGAATAATTATAGAACAAATATAGAAAGAGATCATTCGCCGGTATTTATACTCCTTTTCTTCCTCTTACCTCATATCCCTCTATTTCCTCTCATATATGCATTGAGTTTCCTCTTAAATACGTTGATCCTATTTGTTTCAAATACAGCTTCCGGCAGTCAGTTTCACATTATCACAACCACCTGCGTGAATCCTCAACTTCTTTTAGATCTGCTAGTAGCTAGTAATTGTAAATCAATGAATCATAATTGTTATGAGTGGCAGATCCACTTACAATCTTTCATTTCTGAGCTCTAGCCAATCTTACCTGTTGATGCTGATGACATATTGCATTGAGTTATCAGAGTTATAATTATGCTGTTTGTTCTCCTGCTTCTGTCTGCATAAAATCTGAAGGCGAGGGCCAATGGTTTGCAGTCCTGTGTGATCATCATTCGAATCCTTCGGGATCTGTGCCAGCGAGTGCCAACCTGGGGAGCTTTGCCAGATTGGGTAAGTGCATCTGGTAAATCTGGCTCTGTGTGAACAAATATTCTAGCTTCCCGACGGAGTCCTGTAGCTCAGTGGTTAGGGCACTCGCCTTGCAAGCGAGAAACCTGGGTTCAATTCCACGCAGGGTGAAACCTTGGGCAAGTTTCCTTACTCCACACACCTAATAATAATCCCTCCAAAACAAAACAATAATAAATTGATCATTTTTAATCCACGACTATTTGTGGGACGCTGGTGTGCGTAATTGGCTGCTATGTTTTGCTCACAAATATACAGTCAATTCACTTTACAGCATATTCTGTGAAGCATTTGAGACAGTGTCTAGAAAACGTGAAAAGCGCTATATCAAATGCAAGGATTATTATTTAAAGCTGAATGAGAAATTGCTGAAATACAATTTACATTCACACAGCCCTTTCCCATTGGGAGAACAGCTCAAAACACTTTACACTGCTGGCTGGACGCTTGAGCCGGGGAAGTGGGGAGCACAAGACAATAAACCTTAAAATTCTATCCCTAGTCTGTTGCAGAGGCAGCAATCTCAGTTGGAGCTACAGTTACAATTGCAATGTTGAATTTTTTTATAATTTCCAACTAAGAGGGAAGATAATTTTGAGTAAAGGTTAACGAGTAACATAAAAGGAACTCTAAGGTATTTTATAAGCATATAAAGAATAAAAGTTCAGTCAAAGGTAGGGGCGGGTCCAATTAGGAACCAAAGAGGAAATCTTCTTGTGGAGGCAGAGGGCATAGCTGACGTACTGACTTTGCATCTGTCTTCACAAAAGAAGAGGGATGCAGCCAATGCCATAGTAAAGGAGGAGAGGGTAGAGAAATTGATAAGATAAGAATAAACCGAGAGGTGGGACTAAAGAGGTTGTCGGTGCTCAAGGTACATAAGTTACCCGGTTCGGACGGGATGCATCCTAGGTTAGTCATCTTAACGTCAGAAGTGGAAACTTCTGGAGACTATAATCCTGCACAAAATAAATTGTCACTGAGAAAAATATAGGTTCATAAAGGGCAGCCAACACGGATTTCCTAAAGGCAAATCATGTCTAACAAAACTGATAGTTTTTTTGATGAAGTAACGGAGAGGGTGGATGAAGGCAGTGCAGTTGATGTACTTTAAATGGATTTTCAAAAGGCGTTTGATAAAATGCCACATAAGAGACTTGTCAGCAAAATAGAAAAAGTATTAAAGGGACAGTGGGTACAGAACTGGCTAGGAGACAGAAAGCAGAGAGTGGTGGTGAACGGTTGTTTTTCTGACTGGATGGAAGTGCAGTGGTGACCCCCAGGGGTCAGTATTGGGGCCACTGCTGTTTTGATCTATATAAATAATGATAATATAATAAATAATATAGTATAATAATATAATAAATGACCTGGACTTGGGTATAGAGAGTACTATTTCCAAGTTTGCAGATGATAGAAAAAGTAGTAAACAGTGAGGAGGATAGTAGCAGATTGCAAGAGGACATAGACTGATAAAATGGGCAGACATGGCAAATAATGTTTAATGTGGAGAAATGCAAAGTGATACTTTTGTGAGGAAGAATGAGGAGGTGCAACACAAGCTAATGGTACAATCTTAAAGGGTGTGAAGGAACAGAGAGACCTGGGGGTTCACATAAGTAAATCTTTGAAGGTGGCAGGACAGGTAGATAAAGCTGTTGAAAAAGACTTTATAAATAGTGGCATAAAATACAAAAGTCAGGAAGTTATGGTGAACCTTTATAAAACACTGGTGAGGCCTCAGCTCGAGACTGCGTTCAGTTCCGGGCACTACATTTTAGGAAGGATGTCAAGGCATTGGAGAGAGTGCAAAGGAGATTTACCAGGATGGTATTGGGAATGAGGGACTTCAGTTATCAGGAGAGGCGAGAGAAGCGAGGGTTATTCTCTTTGGAGGAGAAAAGGTTAAGAGGAGACTTAATAGAAATTTTCAAAATTATGAGGAAATTCGATAGAGTGAACAAAGGAAACTATTCCCATGGCGGGTGGGTCGGTAACCCGAGGACACCAATTTAAAATAGTTGTTAAAAGAAACGGGAGGTGAGGAGAAATGTTTTCACACAGCGAGTTGTTGGGATCTGGAATGCGTTGCCTGAAAGGCTGGTGGAAGCCGATTCGCTAACGGCTTTTAAGAGAGAAGTAGATAATTATTTGAGAAGGATAAATTTGCAGGGCTATGGGGAAAGAGTGGGGGAGTGGGATTGAATTGGATAGCTCTTTTCATAGAGCCAGCACAGATAAGATGGGCCGAATGACCTCCTGTTCTGTATAATTCTATGATTCTATGAAATCTCAGCCAGCAATAGATATCATTCATTTTTTGTGAATATACTGCAAAATGGCATGAAAAGTAAAGGTATACCAAAATGAATATAAGGCCTCAAAATGAATATAAGGCCTCAACATCAACTAGTTTATTCTTCACTCTCAGGCGATGGAATTGCTGGTAGAGAAGGCCATCAGCAGTTCAACGGGTCCATTAAGTCCTGGTGATGCAATGCGCCGAGTACTGGAATGTGTTGCTTCGGGAGTTCTCCTTCCAGGTTAGTCTCTCTCCACTCTGGAAGTGGACAAAGTGTTAAGGAGGGTGTACTTTGCTGGGATGACAGCGATATTCTTTTGAGCAACACTGCTAAAGGTTTGAATATCCTTTCTGTATTTGGGGAAAGATTTTAGAGTAGATATTAGAGCATTGTTTCTTGCAACAAGTGCCCATAATTTACTGTTTTCCATTGAACCTATATAAATATATAAATGCATGCATGTTGTTGAACCTCCTTCCCCTGGTGGTGGAGAAAGCTTGGGGTGGGTGAGTGGAGGTGTTTGTGGATTGGGGGCTTCAAAAATGATAAATCTGAATGATGTTTTATCGAGCATCGAATCTGAAGCACAGTGGTACTGGGAATATGTTTATGCCCTTTTTCAATCACCATTCAATCTTGATTTGACCCTCTTAAGTTTTTTTAAAAAAAATTCCCCAAATAAATACCTATATTGCTCAGGTGTTTCAAACACCCTGGTTTCAACCTCAGCTCAGCACCCCCACAGTGATAATCTCAGCAACCCATCACCCGAACAACATCGACAACAGGTTTGATTCCCAGTCAGGGCGAAACGTTGGGCAGCTTTCCTTACTCCACTTGCCTCTGTTTACCTCACAGTAAGTAGGAACCCGATTGTTAGTTGATTGGCGGAATGCTTTTCCGGAGGCTAATATTCCCTTAAAATTTTTGTTAAATAATAATAATCATTTGGTCACTCAGTCCACGACTGTTTGTGGGACACTGCTGTCTGTAACTGGCTGCCGCGTTTCACCCACAAAATATACAGTTAATTCACTCTGCAGTATATTTTGTGAATCGCTTTGAGATGACTCAAAGACACAAGGCGCTGTATCAAATACAAAGATTATTATTATGATTCCCCACTGCAACAATCTCAATACCTCCCGCACCCACCATATTTTCCCATGTTTCTTCCACTGCGGTCAGCAAGGTGTGATGCAGGGAATGAACAGGCTATCGTAACTTTCCATGCATGAAGCTTTGTAAACGTTGCTCAGAATCTGCCAACTCACCCAGATTGGAATGTGCATAATAAAGGTTTCTTTGACAGTTCATAGACAATAGGTTTAGAACATTCAGAATGAATAATTAATCCCTGGATAGTTTTATGAAGGGGATCCCAAAATGTGTGGGCTTGCAAAACTTGTGCGTTCTGGTGGGAGTGTGCTACATCAGCAAATAATAATAATAACCTACAGATGGCCCTGGACTCCTGGATCCTTGTGAAAAAGACCAATCGGATGCTTTGTCCTGCATGACCGATCAGCAACGAGAAGATATTACAGCCAGTGCACAGGTAATGTACCTCAAGCAGACTCCAGGCTTCCCTTGTAACACGCTGCTTACATAGCAAACCTTCTATTCGATGCATATCAGGGTTTGCATTTTACAAAACTTTTTTTTGTCTGACACACGCAGAAAACCATCACCATTGTTTAAGAGTCTCCAAACCAAACTGAGAATTGCATGCATTCCACCAACACATGGAAATCGCAGAGATAGATCTTCGGGATGGAATGCGCACTGTCTCTCTCCCTGGAGGGATGTATCCTGCTTACTTAATACCGGAAAGTATTAGGCGCAGGTTGGCAAGAGCCTAATACAAAACTCCCAATGCTAGGGACACTGAAAATGTTCTTTCAGCGGCAACCACTGTACCACGGGCTCCTTGTAAAAGATCCAAACGTACCACACTTTAGAAAAGAGAGATTGCGCTTGGCGGTCTTGTAGTGTGTATTCACCAGAATGATACCTGGATCATTGTTCCACCACTGCTCTGCGATGCTACCCTGCGTGAGGCCCTGTATAAATGCAAGTTGTTGGATTAAAGGTGCTTAGTTGTGGAGACAGAATGGGCAAACTAGGCTGTATTCCCTTGAAGAAAGAAGATTGAGAGGTGATGATCAAGGTGTTTACGGTAGTCGGGAATTGACAGAAACACTATTTTCTATGGTTGCAGAACCCAAACCAAGATGATGTAGTTCTAGAAATGAGAGCGAGATCTGTTTGTAGTGAAATCGAAAGGTATTTCCTAACTCATAAAGTTGTGAAACTGGAAACAAAAAGGACAGTGATGCAGGAGATGGCAGTGGCTGTCTTCGTGATGCTAGATTTCCTCCTGTTCCTACGTTCTGCTCAGAAGTACCATTGAAGTAAATGTTCTGTGTTTTGTCAGAATAAGGCATTTCCTTGAAAAGACCAGTTCTAATCAACAGACTTACCGAAGTAGCAGTTCTCCTCACATTGTCTGGAATAAACAGATTTTCTTGTGTTGGAACCAGCTGGCAAGTGGCCACTTAACTTCATCTTTGATTGCTTTCAAACCATTGCTGAAACTGCAGATCAGTTGTAACTCTGTATTCCCGAGTGAGTGCTGTGAATTAGCATTTAATTGTCTTCAACATCTGTGAACATGGTGTAGCCTGCGTACATGTCACTTAAGCAAATCGTATCGTGATAAAATCTTGTGAATGTAACACTTGTTTCTAGGGCGATGTAAGGCTTTGTTCATTGCCCAGCGTGTAACTGCCTCCTGTCTCTTGCCTCCCCAGCACGCATTAAGGCTGTTGGCGTTTAGACAGATCCACAAAGTTCTCGGCATGGATCCTCTGCCGCAGACAAAGCCTCGGTTTAACGTGCGTAATCGTAAACGGAGACGAGACACCAGCGAGACCGCAGAGGGAGAAGGTGAAGGAAAGAAAGACAAAAAGGACAGTGATGCAGGAGATGGCTGAGTCCTGTCCTTGTGATGCTAAATTTTCATTTCAGTTTTTTTTATGAGTTGCTGTCTAGTCTAAAACATTTGCAATTTTAGTGTTTCACTTGAATAACAGTGTACTGTAGATCTGTTTTAAATTGTGCTTAAATCAGTAAGAATTGCATCATTCCATAAAGATCATGTTGCCTATGGCAACAACTGTGCCCCTCTGCCCCTCCCCCTCAAAAAAAGTAACTCCGTTAAATCAGTTGGTTCAGTCCAGAAAGGCATTTTTTTAAAAAAAGTTAAACCAAAGTAATGGCTCGCTCCCTGATCAGCGTGAGGTGGCTTTCTCGTGTAAACACATTAACATTGGTTAAAAAAAATTGCACTGCATTCAGTCAAAGATGGGTCACGTTTTTATTTTAAAAAGGTAGCATTGAAAAATGTTTCTACAAGAACGAATTGTATAGTTCACACGGATTAGTTGAATGCAGATCATTTGCACTTCACTCTACAGGCACCTTCCACCTAAATATGTCAATACCTGGTCCCGATTCAAAAGCTATGCAACGTCAGACACAGCCTCTGGGTTTATCTGACATGCACTAGAAAGGTGCTGGCTATTTTGCTTAAGGTTGGGAGAGGGGAGCAAAGTTCTCTCAACTGACCTTGGCATGACTGACGTTCACCCTATACACTACAGTGCAGTTTACTGCAGGTTTGAACAGAGCAATTTATTTCAGAAAAGGACTGTTGTGGTCTGGGCTAACCCGTGACATGTGGAGCTTTTCCGCTTTGGCCTGAAGCAGCCCATTTCCAACACGTTTAGCTTTTTGACGGCATCAGAAATCGGGGTCTCTTGCAACTGGGTTTTTTCTGGGTTTGTTTTATTTGACAGGACAGCCTGTAACTGGCTTGTTACAAAATGTTTGTAGTGCTGCCCATTAAAAAAGAACTTCAGACCTCTTGTGCATGGATTGTCTTGTGTGCGATATCTCCTTGCACCTTTCTCCTCTTTCCACCCCCACCAACCACACCCCACTGTCTGTCTGAGCAGTGGTTCAATTTGATCAGAATATTTATAGTGCTATTGCAAAGTTTTTCTGATCTATTCTGCAAATTTTTCTAGTCATAAGTTAAGTAAATTCAATTGTTTTGAATCCCATTTTCTCACGTTTGAGAACCACCTGAGAATACTTTAAGCCTTAGTTAAGTTTCTGCAGTAGAATTGCACAATAATTAGCATGTTATCCACAATTCAGTAAACCAATTACTGTTGTGTTTTTGAGTTGTCGTTGCACTGATGAAATCTGGTACTGATAGATTCTCTGGTATCACTCAAAGGTGTTGTGGGTTATTCATAGCTTGAAGACTTAAAACCTTTTTTTTCTAATTCTTTGTACACTTTTAGGATTCAGTATGTCAGGTAGGTAAGAGATTCTATATTTTGGGTTTACATCTGTCAGGATTGTGCACTGTAGTGTACCACAAAATCACAGAGACGTTTGCTCAGCAGGCACACACCGAGTATAGATATTTTTGCAAGGCTCTGTCTGTTCCCTGACTCCGTGGTACCTATAGCTATCTCGATGGATCTTTTGAGCACCAGTTCCTTTGCGTCAAATTCCCCTGCGCTGAGCTGATTGTTGGATTCAATCCAGCCCAGCTACTATCAGCTCCGATATCAAGCTCGGGGCATTTTATGCAAAAATGAAAACTGACATCTGTAGGTAACTCTCCTTTTTAATGTACGGTTTAGCTAATTTAAACTCTTAGAGTTTGTATAGCTGGGGAATAATTTTCCACCGTGTAAGAGTACCCGATTCAGGTTCACCTACCTAAGTGTTATTTCAATCGAAATGTGGCTTTGTCATGAGCTCTGTGGTATTTAAAAGCGTATATTCAACTTTTGTCAGCTGTGTATTACTGAGCTAGAGTAAAAGTGCTAAAAAGAAAAGCATTGTAGAGGATCGCTGTGTAGTTCAGGTCCTTTTTTATGCTTTGAGATAGCTGTTGACACACTGCAACTCTATAAAAGATTAATTGGAAATAAAACTCTTCATGAAAGACTGCATGTTCTGACAGTGCTTTTGTTGCATCTAGAAATCTGTAAATATGTTTGAACTTCAGTGCGTACTGAGATTTTCAGTGAGATAATGGATTTTGTTTGCAAGACCTACTTTGGTAAGTGAATAAAGTTTCTTCAATGTGGTATCTATTTACTAAAGTTATCTGTGTGTTCATTTGTTACCTTCTGCATTTTTGTGGTTTACTCCATACAGGTGTTGGGTGGGGAGGATGGGAGGGGGCATTTCATGTCCCTCGTATGACTTTTGCATGGTTGCTATGCCCATCACCCCTCGGTGTGGAGTCCTGTAGCGAATTGGTTAGAGCACTCGCCTCGCAAGCGAGAGGACCTTGGTTCGATTCACAGGCAGGGAGAAACCTTAGGCAAGTTTCCTTACTCCGTATGCATCTGTTTACCTAGCAGTAAGTAGGAATCCAGTTATCAGTCGATTGGTGGATCGCTTTTTCGCTCCATTTCAAAAAATAAATGTAAAAAAATAATAATTTGGTCACTCAATCCACAGTATATTCTGTGAAGTGCTTTGCGGGGTCTATATCAGACGTAAGGATTATATTATATCCCTTCTGGTTTGCTTTTGGTATCAGTCCGATTCCATGCAACAATAAAAAAAATTCATTAGGTTTAGACAAACCATGAAATTAATGTCTGCATTTACAGTTAGGAAAATGTTTCAGAATGGGAAGCCAATTGGTATTTTCTGTTGAATAGCTAAACCCTCTGGTTTATAACGTGCCTGAGCTGTGTTACATGACTTATCAATCCAGAAGTTGGGTCTGAGTGGATAAACACAAGGTACTGTTTTATCCCTTCCCCTGTTATGTTTTAAGATACAGACTTTTCAGATAAATGTGCTGAAATTTATCGTGCTGAAAAACAGGTATGGACTCCAGTTGCTGTGCTAAGTAATATTTGCTTTATGTAATTATGTAAATTAACTTCTTAGAAAAAAAATTCATAAATGAAACTAGTTACAAAAATAGTCACTATGCTTTACAGGATGTCCTGTGAAGCTCTTTGAGATGTACCCCCCCCGATGTGAAAGACACTATACCAAATGTAAGGATTATTATTATAGTTCTTTCTCAGAAACTTTACTGAAATTGTCTCCACTGTTCAGTGAACCTCCGCTTAGTCGCTTGCAGGAAATTATTTCATAGACTAGCAGTCACAAGGAAGAGTCCTGGTGATCTGAACACTTTGTAGCAATACGTTATTAATCTAGTTCAGTTTACATCTCATTGATGCATTCAAAGATTCTTACTGTACATTTTTACTATCAAGTTTAAAAAGAGTTTATAGAATTCACATAATTTATTCATCTGATGAGACTAGCAGATTGTATTATTTAGTTGTTCGCTTCTTTGAATGCTGACCATACAATCTCCCCCCTAGTCTTCCTAACACAGTAAGTATATCAGCAATTTGCAACAATGGCTTCAGAAGCTTTGTCTCTTTAGTTGATAAGAATGTGCCTTTGACATTGATTGACAAAAAAGTTAAAACTAGATACAAGGCACTTTTTAAATTAGAAATTTGTGCTTGATTTCATTAGCTTCAATGAGGATTTCGGCTTCATTTGTTTCTTCTATTTAGCTTTGTGCAAAGGGTGACCAGAATTCTGCTGAGGTGCTGTAACCTATAGAAACTATTTTCAAGATGATACAGAACATTTTCTTGAAGTTTATTGTTTCTTTACTATTTAAAGGACGGTGACATTTTACAGAACTGATATAAAAGTTTTCACACCTGCAAGCCGTTACTTGGTGTTAAAGCTCACACCACAGTGAGTTTTGGGAGGAAGCTGAACAACGTACCACAGGCAATGAGCATCTGGTAGTCGCGATTGTTGGTAGACATGACATCTTTATTGTTTTTACCTGAGCAGGATTATTATTGAAATAGCAGATACTGGTCAAGTAAAACTAAACCATCCCACAATGATCTAAACCCAGGTTCCTATTAATGTGTGAACAATCCAACACTTGGTGAATTCCCTATCAGCCCCGTTCTCGCCCGACTCCACTGGCTTCCCATCACACAGAGGATCCTGGTCCTCAACTTCAGAGCCCTCCACAGCCTTGCTCCCCACTACCTTTGCAACCTCCTAACCCTCTACCATCCTGCCTGCTCCTTCCGGTCACATCCCCCACTGGGAGGCGGGCCTTCCGCCACTCTGAGCCTACCCTCTGGAACTCCATCCCGCAGTCCCTCCACTTCGCCTCTTCCGTTGCTTCCTTCAAGGCGCTCCTATTCGACAGTGCGTTCGATCACCCTGGTTCCCTGCCCCCCCACCTTCCCTGATCCCAACCACCAGCTCGGTTCCAAAACACTGATCGTCCAGCACCTTGGGACGTCGTCCTGACATGAAAGTCACTACACAAATGTCATATTGTTGTTGTTGAATTCTGCTTCACTACAATGGGACGAGCCAGCACCAAAGGATCAAAAAGCAGCGTTGCTGTGATTGTTTGGCTGCCAAGCCAACTATCCCTGTGGTAACTTTACTGCCACCTTCCCATTTAAAACCCCAAAAGCCGGAAGCATGCTGAAATCTGATGCTTTTTTTTAATCAGTTGGTCTCAAAATGCCAACCAGCTTTATGAGGTAAGATGGATCGGAGTGAGGGCAACTTAGTGATGCATTAATAAGGATTATCTTTCAACTCTAGGCCCTGGGTGTTGATATTAAGTTAGTGCAATTGCGGTAAAACTCTTCAGTGTTTGGATCGACATACCTTTGTGAATTGACCATTTCTGCAATCACTTTCATCAAAAAAATACAGATCTCTCTTGATAAACAAATGTTTGGCGGCAGAACTGCCCTGTACGGGTGGGTAATTATAATTAATAGCAATTGTTTTCAGCAAATTTTTTAAAAAATGGATTGAGAACAACAAAGGTCAACTCTCACACTAATGAGTTGTTTTGCTTTTGCACTGCTAACATTTACTAATAATGTTTGGGTTTTGCATTCTTGGTGTTGTCTTTATGAAGAAGAGCTTATAAATGAATGTTTCAGAGGAATTTCTTGTTTCATTTTTTGACTGGTATGGCTCACACATGTGGCTCAGTACAATCCTGAGTTCCACAATGCTGATGAATGCAATACCAGAATTTACATACACTGCAACCACTGAACACAAATTACCAGTAAATACAAAACTAGCCTTATGTTATTATTACTCTTGTTTCACCCCTCGACCTTAGTTTTGGTGAGAGCACTTGCCTCGCAAACGAAAGAACTTGGGTTCAATTCCCGGACAGAGAAAAACCTTGTAATACCTTTTTTCTAAAAAAAATAAATTTTAAATTTGTTCTCTCAATCCAAGATTGCTTGTGGGACGCTGCTGTGTGCAATTGGCTGCAGCGTTTCGCCTACAAAATATAGTCAAATAACTTTTCAGTATATTCTGTGAAGCGCTTTGAGACATCGCGAAGAAGTGATAAGGTGCAATACAAATGCAAGGATTATTATTATAATGCACTTTGGTGTGTCTGAAAGTCCACTGCGTACTGAAAACAGGAAGCCTGTCCAAGGGAGAGCGACCACCATGTAGCCTCATTGCACAATACTCAATTGGATCCTTTCTGTCTGTCAGTAGAATTAAGATAAGCAATTTCGTATTGCTCCAGCTCCCCTGGTTTACTTTGGTGGTAGTCTATTCCCTCTGTTTCCCTTTAAAGATTCTCTTTACCTCATTCCTGTGCATCACCCACCGACTCCTTTGTGATATTTTTGACGCTCCCTCTCTCCTCGCCATCCTCCAGTGTGTGCATCTTAACAATTTTGGATTCATCTGTCTCCTCTCTCATGTTTGTTCTCCCAATTCTTCTATACTTCTGACCTTTTGTTGACTAGCCTGGCCTGTGTGTCTACTTCCCTATAATTAATAGAAATATTGGGCTTTGCAGAAACTGACTGAGGCCTTCAACCTTAAGAACAAACAAGATTCACCACATTCACTCCCAAACCACAGAGTGCAGTCCTCCTACTGTTGTGAGCAGCTAACACGTTTGAACTTGTAACCATCCAGGCTGCACCAGATGGTTTGTTTGCCCACATCAGGGAGAGTCCTTTGTTTTTTTTGCCTGGAAGTTGGGTCAGTAACCAGAGGACACAGATTTAAGATAATTGGCTGGAGAACCAGAGGGGAGGGGAGACTTTTTTTTACCCAGAGAGTTGTTACGGTCTGGAATGCTCTGCCTGAAAATATGGTGGAAGCAGATTCGCTAATCTCAAGGAGTCCTGTAGCTCAGTGGTTAGAGCACTCGCTTTGCAAGTGAGAGACCTGAGTTCAATTCCAGGCAGAGGGCGAAACCTTGGGCAAGTTTCCTTACTCCACACACCTAATAATAATCCCTCCAAAAAAACAAAACAATAATAAATTGGTCATTTTCAATCCATGACTGTTTGTGGGACACTGCTGTACGCAATTGGCTGCCGCGTTCGCCCCCAAATATACAATCAATTCACTTTATAGTATATTCTGTGAAGTGCTTTGGGACGTCTAGAAGTCTTGAAAAGTGCTATATCAAATGCAAATTATTATAATAATAGCTTTTAAAAGGGAATTGCATAGGTATTTGAAAAGGAAAAAATTGGGAGAGCTTTCATCACATCCCAGCGTGACTATGCCAACTGCCTGCTCGCTGGACTTCCCATCTCTTCCCTTCACAAGCTGCAGATTATTCAGAACTCTGCAGCTATGGTCCTCTCCCGCATCAGGCTTCGTGAACCGATCACAACCACCATCGGACGCCTCCACTGGCTCCCCAACCCTCGTTCTCACCATCAAGGCCCTCCATGGTTTTGCTCCCCCCCCCACGACCTCTACAACCTCCTAACTCCTGTCTGTTCCCTCCGCTCGGCAGACACCGGCTGCTTCAGGTCCCCTGCGCTTCCAATCCCACCATTGGTTGGGCATTCAGCATATCTACCTGCACACTCTAGAACTCTATCCCACAATTCCTCCAAGTTGCCCCCTCGCTTGCGTCATTGAAGTCCCGTCTAAAGACCCTCCTCTTCGACCGTGCCTTCGGCCACCTCCACCTGCTCTCCAACCCTCCTGACCCCAGCTCGGGTCCAAAACGCTTGAATGTACAGTACCCTGGGACGTCTTTCTGACATGAAGGAGGCTTATACAAGTGTAATTTGATGTAAGAGCGGGGGAGTGGGACAAGTTGGTAGCTCTTTTAAAGAGCCGACTCAGGCACAATGTGATGTAAGATTCTATGATTTTATGAGAAAGCAGCAAAAATTAGAGCTCCTGAAGTGTTCTATTCTTTACAAGTCAGAGAGGTTGGCAGGAGTTTTGAGCGCAGAAGACACCTGCTCCATCGGCAGGAAATCAGTCAAACTACATGAAATTCAACTGACCCACTCTGTATTCACAATATAGAAACTAAGGTTTTTTAAAATTGACTTGTGGTTGGGCGGTGGTTAGGGGAAGGATGGAGGAAATAAATGCAAATAAGGAATAAGAGGAAGTGAAAACAGGTCTTAACTGCTGCCAAATTGGACTTCCCACTCCGCAAATCCCTGAATGAACAGCCTAGTCTTGTTCCACACCTCAACGAGAAAACGTTCTCAATACAGAATCCTCTGTTCTTTCTGTAAGTCCTCAGAGACTGAGTGAGTAGAATACCTTTTAACATAAAGATCTGATCTCTGTTATCCCCTCTCCTTGTTGGCTGTTGTTCTATTCCTGCTTTAGTTCTGTCTGTAGTGTGTGTAAAATAATTTCTTATTGGCTCTGTTGTCCACTCTTGTCCGTCTCATATGGAAACACCACGTCTATAACGTAATGTCTGAGGTGGGAAAGTTCCCCAGCGTTTCGCCCACAAAATGCACAGTCACTCCACTTTAAAGTATATTCTGTGAAGCGCTTTGAGAAGTCTTAATGCCGTGCGATAAGGTGTGATATCAAATGCAAGAATTATTATTATAGAGTAAGCTCTCACAGTTAAATCCAGTGAATAGGAATCCCTTTCTCTCTCTCTAGCCTATGCTGTATTGAGCACATTTTAAATTGGAAGTTCAAAATGTATTAATTAGTTGACCCTTGTGTTCAATTTGTATGCTGCCCCCCCTCCCCCCTTAAATTTTTCCCTTCCTGAAGACAATCCCTCGCTAGGGGCTAGGCTACAGTTTTACGAGCAGCAGCACCCTCTAATACATCGTCCCCCTCTAATACATCATCCCCCACAACTGTCCATTATCCATGTGTGAACCTAAAGAGAGAGTGTTGCTGAGGGAGAACAGCCAAGCCTGACCCTCTACTCTTTCAATGTCAACCTTCACTTTACAGTGGGGATAATTGGACAACAACAACAAATTACATTTGTAAAGCGCCTTTCACATCAGGAGGATGTCCCAAAGCAGTGATCAGGAATGAGATCCTTGGTTTTTATTTTCCCTTCCCTAAATCCAGGGTCACTGAGCCAAATTGTAGCCCTACTGTGGCTCCAGCTAAGATCGGATAACTCAGCACAGAGGAGAAATTGAAGCTGGAATCTTTGTGAGTCAGTTTTACACCAGCCATTTACCAACTGGCGGCTACTTAGGGAGCTTCATATGTCTGTAGTATTTGATATACAGTGTTTATTAAAGCAGAAAATGCATAAATTTGCATTATTTTAATGAACATCATTGGAATAGGCAGGTTTACGAAAGACAAATGTTGCTGCTATGCTCACGTATAGCAATGTCACTGATGATAATATCTAAGTTCACAAGCCATGGGCGAAAAGCTCTTGTTCCCCTTTTCTCTGGTGTCAGCATGACGGTCAGCCCTGAAACTGGCAATCTGAGAATAAAGTGCTAAATCAAATGCAAGGATTATAAATAATAGGCATTGAATTACAAAATCAGAAGTCCTTATCTCTAGCTGTTGAGTTTCAGCTGTATTCCTGTATCGTTGGTTTTCTTCTCTTTTACTCTCTGATGTTGCTGGAATCATTGGAACAGTTGAGGTGGAGTGTCTGGAGTCACAGAGCGAGGGAAAGTGAAAATGTTTTGTAGCCTGCCAAATTACCAGGATGGTAGAAGCCGGACTAAATGGACCTTGGTCTTTTTTTTAATCGAGCAACAACAACAACAAGATTTCATTTATAGAGCGCCTTTCACGTCGGGAGGATGTCCCAAGGCGCTGGACAGTTGGGTCGGGACCCGAACAGGGGGAAATGGTCAGGGTGAGGGAAGGGAGGGAGCGAGGAGGTGGCAGACAGTCGAGAGGGGAGCTGAAGGCACGGTCGAAGAGAAAGGTCTTGAGACCGACCTTGAAGGAGGAAAGGGAGGAAGCGGCGAAGGCACTGGTGGATGGAGTTCCAGAGCCTCGGGGCTGAGAGGCTGAAGGCCCGACCACCGATGGTAGGACGATTAGGGCGGGGGATGTTGAGCAGACTGGAGCCAGAGGAACGGAGGGTACGGGCAGGTAGTAGGTCGGAGAGGTAGGAGGGAGCGAGGCCGTGAATGGCCTTGTAGGTGAGGATGAGGAACTTGAATTCGATCCTCTGGGGGATCCAGTGGAGCCAGTGGAGGCGAACGAAGGTGGGAGTGATGTGGTCGCGACGCCTGGTGCGGGACAGTACACGAGCAATTCCTATTCCTGTGTACTCGCTCTCGCTCTCACCAGCTCGGACTAAACACACAGGATGACCAATTCTGACTGAACAAAGTATAGCTTAACTATACCTCTTTTATCATTGGCCTTTTTTTAACATCAAGATGGATGGTCCCATGTGAATCTGCACGTCCTCACCCACCAGATAGTTATTTACAGGCTAGGACTATCCTCGGGTACAGTGCTCATGAGCTGATTCTGATTAAACAACAGCAGGACATTACAACCAACAAGAGAGCTGCACTGCAATAAACACATTTCTTTACTTGTGAACCAATTTAACTCCTCAAGGCAAACATACAGGCAATTTCCCCATAACATTTTAACTGAAGTTATACCAACGACCACGTAACATACAATATGCTTAAACATAAATTTTACAATTCAGCTGATTCTGATTAAGCTCAGTGTCTTAACAAGTCATTTCAATACTGACGAGGAAGCATGAGCAACCTTCACCTCATCAAAACAAGCAATTTAAAATCAAGATTGTCATTCCTCGGGTTAACTAACAAACATAAATACGCGTGCCTATCCAAACTAAAATAATATTTTAAGCAATAATATATTTCTGATTCGAACAGAGAGAAGCACAGAACTGCTAATTCTGTTAATACCCACATCAACCTGAACACACACAGTCTAAGGCTTAGACTCTACAATGCAGTTATGGGGGTTGTTCCATTGTTGGAGATGCTGTTAAACAAGGATGAGACATTAAACAAGGTCCCATCTGCCTGTTAAAGACGGGAAGGGAGTTTCTCCCTGTATCCTGGCCGACAATCCTCCAAATATCCAAATAAAATTGGTAATTTGTTTTACAGCTGGTTGTGGGACATTGCTGTGTGCAAATGATGCTGCCTGCCATGTTTACCTACAAAATACGCAGTCACACCACTTCATAGTAAAATAAGGCAGAGCGCTTTGGGACATCCTCCCAACGTGAAAGGCACAATACCAAATGCAAGAATTATATTATGATCAAAAAGTGAACTATGAACTCATTGGAAAGGAGAAGTAGTTTTGAAGCTTTGCTGAGATGCTAGCTAGGGAGAAGAAAGGGTAATGAAAATCCAAAGAGGAACTTTGAAATCGAGATTATTCAAAGGCATAAAAACCAGTAAATTGCCTCCAGTGAATCGACAATCAGCATGTCTAAGCAGTTAAATATAGAAATTGCAAGGTTTGCTTCAGTTAAGAGAGACTCGTGCAGCTATATTTTCAAGAAAATGAAATTGAAAGAGAAAGACACAATGCAGATTTTTGTTTCTGCCTCTGATCCACATCGATGAGGCTATAATGTGGAACAGGTTCCCAAGGGAGACGGTGGAAGTAAAATTAGATTTATGCTAGGATATAATACCTCGGGATATAACATATAGTTTCATAGAATTATACAGTACAGAAGGAGGCCATTTGGCCCATCGCGTCTGGTGCTGGCTCTTTGAAAAGAGCTTCAAAATCAATCCCATTCCCCGCTCTCTTCCCATAGCCCTTGTCCTCCTCGAATGATTATCTACTTCTCTCTTAAAAGTTGTTATCGAATCGGCTTCCACCACCCTTTCAGGGAATGCATTTCAGATCTGAACAACTTGCTGTGTGAAAAATTTTCTCCTCACCTCCTCTTTGTTTTTACAACTATTTTAAATCAGTGTCCTCAGGTTACCGACTCACCCGCCAGTGGAAATTATATAATCCTGGTAAATCTCCTTTGCACCCTCTCCAATGCTTTGACATCCTTCCTAAAGTGTGGTGTCCAGAACTGAACGCAGTCTATAGCTGAGGCCTCACCAGTGTTTTATAAAGGTTCATCATAACTTCCCGACTTTTGTATTCTATGCCCCTATTTATAAAGCCTTGTATCCCATATGCTTTTTTAACTATCTGCCTGTCCTGCCATCTTCAAACATTTACTTATATGACCCCCAGGTCTCTCTGTTCCTTCACCCCCTTTAAGATTGTACCATCAGCGTATATTGTCGCTCCTCATTCTTCCTCACAAAATGCATCACTTCGCATTTCTCCACATTAAACTTCATCTGCCATGTGTCTGCCCATGTTACCAGTCTGTCTATGCCCTCTTGCCGTCTACTACTATCCTCCTCACTGTTTACCTCTTTTCCTAACTTAGTATCATCTGCAAACTTGGAAATTGTCCTCCCTATACCCAAGTCCAGGTCATTTATATAGATCATAAACAGCAGTGGCCCCAATACTGATCCCTGGGGGACACCACTGCACTTCCCTTCAGTCAGAAAAACAACCGTTCACCACCACTCTCTGCTCTCTGTCTCCCAGTTCTGTATCCGCTGCCACTGTCCCTTTAATACCGTGGGCTTCTATTTTGCTGACAAGTCTCTTATGTGGCATTTTATCAAACGCCTTTTGAAAATCCATATAAACTACATCAACTGCACCACCTTCATCCACCCTCTCCGTTACTTCATCAAAAAACTCATCAGGTTTGTTAAACATAATTGTCTTTAACAAATCCGTGTTGGCTGTCCTTTATTAACCCATATTTTTCTAAGTGACAATTTATTTTGTCCCGGATTATAGTCTCTAGAAGAATTTCCCCACTACTGACGTTAGGCTGACTGGCCTGTAGTTCCCGGGTTTATCCTTCTGCCCCTTTTTATACAGGGAAGTAACATTTGCAACCCTCCAGTGCTCTGGCACCACCCCAGTATCCAAAGAGGTTTGAAAGATTGTGGCCAGAGCCTCTGTTATTTCCACCCTTACTTCCCCTCAGTAACCTAGGATGCATCCCGTCCAGACCGGGTGACTTATCTACCTTGAGCACCGATAATCATTTTAGTACCTCCTCGGTTTATTCTTATCTTATTAATGTTCCTACCCTCTCCTCCGATACTGTGGTATTGGCTGCATCCTCTTCTTTGTGAAGACAGACGCAAAGTCCTCATTCCCCATGCCCTCTGCCTCCAGATTTCCTCTTTGGTCCCGAATTCGACCCACCATACCTTTGATTAACATTTTATTTTTATACGCT